GAATTGAGGCAGTTCTGAAGGCAAAAGGGGGTCCCAACCCATTACTAGCGTGGTGTACCTAATAAAGTGGCCGGTGAGTGTAGTTCGGCTCTTGGCCGTGTAGAGCTCTAAAAGTGAGAACCAGGATTTTGAACTTGAGTCTGAAGTGTACAGGTAGTCAGTGGAGGTCTGATGATACAGGGCTGATGTGAGAGGATTTAGATGTTCTAGTTAAAAGTCCAGCAGCAGAGTTTTGAACATGTTTGAGTCGGTTTAATTGTTTCTGATTTAAGCAGGTGAACTGTTACAGTAAAGACGAGTTGAGATAAAAGACATGGATTACCATTTCCAGGTCAGAGGCAGGCAGGAGGGGGCGAAGTTTAGAGATATTACGTTGAAAATAGCACGAGGTAACTAGATTTTTGATGTGTTTTAGTGACAGGTCTGAATCAAAACTGACTCCCAGATTTCATACGCTCTTTGTAACAGTCGGCCCCAGTTGTTTTTTTATCTGAGGGATCTTATCTTCAGGTGCCAGGATCAGTTTCTGGAGCAGCAGGTTGTCAGAGAGACGTTTGTTTACGTCTGTGATCCAGTCTAAGAGATCAGCTTGTGGGGACTTGACTCGTTACAAGAGCAGTAGAACTGCAGGTCATCGGCGTAGAAGTGATAGGAGACATGAAAACTGTCAATGATCTGGCTTAGGGGGCCGATGTAGAGAAGGAAAAGGAGGGGCCCCAGGATTGAACCCTGTGGAACGCCACAAGAGAGTTGTGACCCCTAAACTCATGTTAGTAAAATATACTCACACAAGAGTTTAGGGGTCACAACTCTCTTGTGTTAGTAAAATATACTCACACAAGAGTTTAGTAACTCTTGTGTGAGTATATTTTACTAACAGAGTGGTGCATTTAGGTGCTTGAAGTGTTTTTTTTTTCTGTCTCAGAAACAGGCTGAAGGTGTTTTTGTGAAGTTTTGTTTCGCTCAGTTTGAGTTTTTAAACATTAAATCAGATTAAAGAGATATTTTAATGGAGGCGTCACTTTGACAGATCACACATTTCACTACAACACCTGCTCCAGCATGACACCTGCACTGTGGGTCAGAACACAGACCCGGTTCGGTTCAGTGGGAGGTGTTCACCTCCAGGTGTGCAGGTGGGGGGGAGGGGTGGCTTACCTGAATGAGTGGGGGGCACGGCGGATCAGGTCTGGATTCTTTGAAGACACTTCAGTTTTTGAGGTTTCTCTGCATCGCCGTCCGGACGGTGGGGGTGACTGGCTCTGTCGGGTTCGGCTCGGCTCGGAACGGTCCGGTCCGGCMCGGCGGGCTGCAGCTCCACCCGCCCTCCGCTGCTCCTCAAGGCTGCGCGGCCGGGGCTCCGGCGGCGGTCGTGTCGCGTTCAGGGCCGGGGAGCGGCAGCTGAGCTCGGCCTCCTCCGCTCCGCCGACATTCCGCCCGAAGCCCGGCTCGGTTCAGTGTCGGCTCGGTTCGGGGCCGCTGCGGCGGCTTCTCATCTTATGTTTTTTCAGCGGAGAAGGGCCGAGACTGCAGGAAGGAAGGAGAGGAGGAAGAAAACGCGCACGGCATGATGGGAAATGTAGTCCGTCTGTTCACGGCGCTGTTTGAAAAGGCGCTCAGAGGACTACACTTCCCATCATGCACCTGTCAGCCTGAGGGTCATGGTGGCGCTCGGGAGTTTGGCAGAGTACTAATACATACAAACTGTGTAAAAAAATACTTTAATAAAGTAAGAGTAGGTTGTTTTTTTACCATCTTAGCCAGAGTTGTAAAGTAACTAAGTACATATACTTTGTTACTGTTATTGTGTTAGAATTTTTGGGTATCTGTACTTTTCTTGAGTTTTGATTGATTGATTTTATTTAGCAGTAATATTGTATGTACACACACACATCTAGTATATATTCATTATTAGTACTTGAAAGTGAGAATCATTCATTTTCATTGTGGTCCAAACATCAAGTGACAGAGAGACTTTAACTTTTACCAAAGTAATTTTTTGGTAGGATACTTACTTTAATCAAGTATCACTTTGTGGTACTTTATACCAGTGTTTCCCAAAGTTGGGGTCGGGACCCAATGTGGGGTCCTGAAACATCAAGGTGGGGTCCTGAA